CGCTTGAGCCCAGGAGTGGGAGGTTGCTGTGAGCTGTAATGCCACGGCACTCTGCCCAGGGGGATAGCTTGAGGCTCTGTCTCAAAAAAAAAAAAGACAGGGTCTTGCACTCCAGGCTGGAGTGCAGTTTTACTGTCATAGCTCACAGTAGCCTGTAACTCCTGGGCTCAAGCAATCCTCCTGCCTCAGCCTCCCCCGTAGTTGGGACTACAGGTACGTGCCACCACGCCCAGGTAATTTTTTTATTTTATTTTTTGTAGAGATGGGGGTTTTGTTTATTGCCCAGGCTGGTCTTGAACTCCTGTCCTCAAGCATTCCTCCCATCTTGGCTTCCCAAAGTGCTGAGGTTACAGCTAGAGCCACCACACCTGGCCAGGGAAGATTTCATTGGTATAAAAAGCCTGTGTTAGCCTTTCCTAGGGGTGTGTGCCTGTATATGAGTGCAAGTTCTCCCTTCACACACTGGCACACATGAACCAGAGAGTTTGTGGGCATCTGGCTCCCCATCTCCACCTTCCTGGCAAGCCTCCCCACAGATTAATCTTCCAATAGTGCTTTCAGCTGCTTGAGGGGGGTGGTTCAGACCCTGAAGTTTGGCCTTAACAGTCCTGTGGCCACACTGCCTCCACACGGCCTCCAGTGTGCCCTGTGCTGGGCCTTCCAGGCCCTTGCCGTTGTAAGTTTTAGTCCTCTCCTACCTCTTAGCCTTACCTAATCTTATCCATCCTTTAAGGCCCATTGCTTGCTTATGCCTCCCTTCCCTGGGCAAGGCTGCCATGTGGGAGAGTGTGCAGGCCTGTTGTGTGCCAACGTGCTCCCCAGAAGAGGAGCTCTGCCTGCTGGGAATACCCACTTAGGCCGGGACTTGAGGACATGGGGCTGTGGTGTGGGAACTGCCGAGGGTGTTCTTGGGCCCTCTGTGAAGCTTGCTTTTCTTTGGATTTGGTGTGCCATGGCAGGCCTGGGTGGCAACCCAGGAAAGCAGATTGTAGGGAATTGCAGGACAGTGTGTGAAAGGCTTCCTCAGCTCTGGAGGTGGGTAGGGTTGGGGAAAGGCCTGAAGGTCCCTTCCTCAGTTTTCTCTCAGGGGCTCCTTTGCGTCAGTGTGCACAGGCCCCAGGGATTAGAGTGGTTATTCAGCACTAAAAAGAAGTGAGCAGCCAGACCAGGAGAAGACATGCAGTGGGAGAAGCTGCTCTGCGAGCCTGCCTTAGTTTGCTGGGGGCTGCTATTGCAGAGTCCTGCTAAACTGTGCAGCTTGTTTCTGTCCAGATCAGACTTAGTAGAAAAATAATACACACAAAAAAGACTGGGTAGCTTATGAACAACAGAAATTTGTTCCTCACAGTCATAGAAGTGGAGAAATCTGGGATCAAGGTGCTGCAGATTCAGTGTCTGGTGTAGGGGCCCACTTCCCTGGTGGTGCCTTTTCACTGTGATGAAAGGGGCAAGGCAGTTATCTGGGGCCTCTTCCTATAGGCATTAATCCTGTCACTACTGCCGAATGGCCCCACCTCCCACTGCCATCACATTAGTTTCAACATAGGAATTCTGGAGACACGTGGAGACTATAGTAGCTGTATACTGTATGATTCCAACTGTCATGTCAGAAAACAACATATAACCCACAGAACATGCAGCAAAGCACCAGGAGGACCCTGATGTGAATGAGGGACTCGCCAGCAGTGATCGCCAGTCTGCCTTCGTTGGCTGTAGCAGCTTTACCCCTCTGGCAAGAGATGTTGGTAGTCAGAGAGGCTGTCCCTGTGGAGGGACCGGGGGGCACATAGGAATGTCTATACTTTTCTCTCATTGCTATAAGCCAGTTTTTCAAGTAAACGATGGAACATTCCTGTCTTGGCTACAGGTTTGTGAATTGTGATGTGTTCTTTTTGATCTCTTCTCTTTCTTTCCAGGACAACCCTCCATATGATAAGGGGGCCTTCAGAATTGAAATCAACTTTCCAGCAGAGTACCCATTCAAGCCACCGAAGATCACATTTAAAACAAAGATCTATCACCCGAACATCGATGAAAAGGGGCAGGTTTGTCTGCCAGTAATTAGTGCTGAAAACTGGAAGCCAGCAACCAAAACCGACCAAGGTAAAGCCCGCTGCTGTGTGTTCCTGGGACTGGGCTCCTCTGGGGATGATGTGGGATGGGTCCCTTCCAATTGCATGTCAGAGAGAGTCCAGAGAACTCCTATACCAGCTCACATGCACACAGAAGTACCCCAGAGGCCCCACTGGTCCTTGTGGGGATGGCTGGTCTCAGCTGAACTGGTGCCCTATATGAAAATTGAGGATGCCCTTCCTGGTGCTAGATGGCCTACAGCCCAGTAGGGACACATGGACAGACAAGCTCAGCAGTTTGGTGCCTGTGGGCACTGGTCCCTGGAAGGGGTACAGGTTTGTGGGGCTGTCTAGAAGAGGAGGGTAGAGTGGGATTTGAGATGGCTTCTTGGAACAATTAGCACTGAACTGACTCGCAGGAAGAAGGGAGGGTTGACGAGAGCCTTCCAGCAAGAGCAGGCCACCAGCCAGCGCCCATGGCTCAGAGTAGACGATGTGGGAGGAGAAGGCGGGTCAGACTCTAGGGTGGCACTCCCAGGGGAAAGCTCACAGTTGGCTTCAGTGGACATGGGACTCCTGGGAACTGGATGTCACCGTTCTGTGTCTAGGTGCCTGTGTGAACATACACATGCTTATTTTCTGGAAATGTGTCTGATTTAGCACTGTGGTTGTCCTCCCTCTTATCTCTTGTAAGTAACTAGTTTTTGTTTAATTATGGACTTTGTTTTGAAGTCCTCAATTCTTCTTTTTGGTGGCTTACTTATAAGTAAATAACCTAAATCAGTATAAGTTCTGCTTAGATTAGAGAGTGCACGAAGCTGGCCTTTGGGAGGCTGCAGGTGGGATTGTGTTAGTGACAGAGACCGCCTTGGAAAGTAATGTTTCATTCACAAGAGAAGTGGAGCCCTATGCACTGGAAGTAGTCACTGTGGAAGGTGTCCATTGGACATGTGCACTGAGCATAGAAAGCTGTGGGAGCCACACGTTCAGGCAGACATCTCCAATGGGCTTGGCACTGGTTGTGCACAAGTTGATATTTATAAAAGCTTAACACAGGTCTTCTCAGTACAAATGGTCTGGTGTGTTTTGTTTGTGTTTTCTGTGCAAATTGCTACCTCTGCGTCAAAGCTCATTTGTTCTGGAGTGTCTTATCACCCCTTGCACAATGCCCAGGGTCCTTGCTGAGTTGTGTCTCTGTTAAACCTTCATGCCTGGGAAGATGAAGTCCTTCTAGGCCAGGCTGCCCAGGAAAGCCCTACATCTCAGTCTCTGCCACAAAGCATTCAGGGGGCTCTCAGGAGATGTGTGTAAGTGCTTTGCCACCTCTGATGGGAGTTGGGGGTGTTACATTGAGAGCTGTGGCAGGATTGTTCCAATTTTAGCTTTACATCTAGGCATAGAGTCAAAATGCTCTGCTTTTTCAAATTGTGGCTGCTGAGTGTTTGGTTTTATTTGTTTTTATTGTTGTTGGGGTTGGCCTTAACAGTCCTGTGGCCACACTGCCTCCACACGGCCTCCAGTGTGCCCTGTGCTGGGCCTTCCAGGCCCTTGCCATTGTAGGTTTTAGTCCTCTCCTGCCTCTTAGCCTTACCTAATCTTATCTATCCTTTAAGGCCCCTTGCTTATGCCTCTACTTTAAGGCTCCTCTACTGAGGGTGACATAGAGAGACTCTGTCTCAAAAAACAAAAAAAATAGTCTTCCAACCCATGTACGGCATATATTTCTCAATTATTCTTTTTTTTTTTTTTTTTTTT